GATGAACTGGGAAGAATTGCTATTCTACCTTTTTACCTTTATGTGATGCGAACGGTATGTCACCTGCCAATGTGCTATTTCAGTGGCATTGCTGTTTAATTCTTCTGAATACTTCAGCATAAATGCCGCTATATTATTGTTTCTTCATTAAAACTTTTTGTGTTGTTTGCATGTACCTGAACATGATGAATTTATCTAATGTTTGTGAAAGCTACTGAGTACTGGTTATGGTTATGCAGGTTTCACTTACACAGGCAAGAATTGACATGAGTGAGCTTGATGAGGATTCTGATGGTTTTCTTCAGCCACATGTATGAATTCTTATTGCTCTTAGGCTTTCGATCATTTTAAATTGAACCATAAATTCACTATTTCATTTATTCATTTTTTACTTTTATGTATATGAAGCTTGAAAGCAAATTGTATTTGAACAATTTCTTACATTCTTATTATGTTAACCTTCATGATTATTATTGTTATTATTTACTTTGCTCTTCAGGAAATGGAGGCCTATATCCGAGGTCTGATACCCAACTTGGCGCAGTTACGTGACATGCCAGCTGCCTTTGTTCAGATGTATTGTCGTATTGCCGCACACAAATTCTTCTTCTTTTGTGATCCTCATAGACGAGGTTTGCATGGCTGAAATCTTTTTGTTTTTAAGTTTAGATGTTGCTTCATAGTTGTATTCCCTCTGTTTTGAATTTCGGTATTGATACAAAAGACATTCTTTTTAGAATATAGAATAATAAATAGAAATATATTGAGGCAAATCCGGAGGGGCAAAACTCATAGCAGCTTTCAGTATGCTCTTTAAATAAGAGAAGAAAAAGACTGAAATTGGAGTACTGAATATAAAAAGTAGATCTCGTCAATGTTTTCGTTTTGGTTTGCAAATTGTTACAACTTTCAATCTTATCATTTTCAATATTCATCTTGTAATCAATTATCCAGATACGGAGATGCTGTTTAGCAATTGTCGTTGAAGTGAACCGTTGACCCCAGAAAGCTATCAATAAATCATTAAACTCATTTACACGGAGAAACTCCCAATATTTAAACCTATTGTTTGAGATTCATAGAGCATCTAATCTGCATTTAATCAACACCTTGCTTGTCATATCTAGCACTCAAGCTAGCATATGTTGCCATTCTCCATCCGAGTTTTTCTATTTTCAGAATCTGACGTGTGGTACTACTGATGACAAAATGACACACCTTGATGAAACATAATCTTCCCAAATATGTTCCCACTGAATGTCCAGTCTCTATACAGGGTTTTATCAAATAAAAGCAGTTGATGCTTATATTCTAACCTCAACTCAATTGCCACTAAAGTTGATTGCCATGTTATAAACTTTTGGACCATAAAACATGTTGAACTAGCGTTGGCTGGTTTATTGAGGAATCTAGTTAATAACTAATATTGGTGCTGTCATCTTGTCTGTTGCCTGTTTCTTATTTGTTTGTTATTCCGGAGACAACGTTGAATTTTACATCTTAGTTTCTTGAATACCACTAAAAATTACTGCTCATTCAAGCACCTAAAGGATATAATTTGATCAGTTTCTTTCATGAATGTTCAGTTAGATACTATGTTGCAAATAATTTACTACTAATAAGGCATTGAGCACAGGGTGGGGTGCATTAACGTACCTTGTTCATGTTATAATGTAGAAATGAAAAATTGTTCCAATTGGTGGTTTTGGTTTACAAGTTAAGTAGTTAGGGTCAGTAAATAATTAGTTAGCGCTCAATAAAATGTTGATTTAGTCATATCTTAATTATATTTATCTTTTAAGTGCTTCTGCTCAACCATTTTTGCTTGTTTGAATTTCAGCTAATGCAGATTACTTTTATCCAGTATTATTGAAGTTTTTTTTTCTTGTACAGGAAAAGCTTGCATCAAGAAAGTGTTGCTTAGTAACTGTCTCCAGGAACTCATGGAGCTTCACCAGGTAGGTTGTTTAAAATGTTCTCTTAATATCTTTGGAACTAAACGTCTCTACCTCTCTGCTGGTTGATATTGTCATGGGAACTTCTGGTGTTTAAAAGCATTGCCTCACATGATTAATTTACTTTGTTTATAGGAACAGTGAACTGTATTTTGTTCTAACTCTGCATAATCTTGAATAATTACTTTTTGTTATAATGTTGTGTATTTCAGGAAAGTGAAGAAGAAGTCACAGACACAGAGCAAGCCGAAAACTGGTTCTCTTTGACTTCTGCTCAACGCATATGTGGTGTGTTTTTTGTATAGTTTTAGGATTCAGACTCATTTACCCAATTCTTCTGCTCCATTCTTGTCTGTCAATCCATCTTTGCTTGTTTATATACGATTTTCAATGCAACATTCTTATCAAGTTATACCGAGTTTCTTATTAAACTCATACATTGAATGGCCTGAATTTCATTTTTCATGATGAATAGAAATCATGAATACAAGTAGGGTTAAAATTATTTCCTGTTGATTTGTGATTTTGTTCGTTCTGAATTTTTCTGCAGACATGTTTCTTGCTCTTGATAAAGATACAAATGGTACATTAAGCAAGCAAGAGCTGCGAGAGTATGCAGACGGGACTCTGACTGATATTTTTATCGAGAGAGGTAAATTTTACTATGGCAATACCCTTGTCAGATATGGTGTAATTTTTGGCACATATTTACCGTTAGTACTGACAACTATTTACATATTCTGAACTCCAAAATGCTGGTTTCCTCCAATTTCCTATTTATAATAACAATTGTGGTTGATGGCCTTATATGTTCCCTATTGTGCGTGTTTCTAATTTTTAGTGCTGAATTGGAACATAATCTTGGTTTAGTTTAGCAATGTTTAACGTGATTATGTGATTCATAGTTTGATACTCATTTGTAAATGAACTAAAACAAATGCACTTCTTGCAGTATATGATGAACATATTCGTCATGGAAAGAGTGGTGGTGGGAATGCTCGAGAGATGGATTTTGAGAGTTTCCTGGACTTTGTTCTGGCTTTAGAAAACAAAGATACTCCAGAAGGCTTGACATACTTGTTTCGTTGCCTTGATCTTCAAGGGAGGGGTTACCTCACTACAGCTGACATTCACTCCCTTTTCAGGTAAACTGTCATTCCGTTGGTATACCAGTATTTATGAACTATTTTCCTCGTCTTTTTGCTAGTATTCGTTTTCTTTACTATATTTCTTGGGCTTTTTTATTTCCATTTGTGGTGATAATATTAGTTTCTTGCACAATAAGTTAACAAACTTTTTTAAACCAGAAATGATTATTTAATGCTATTATTGGAAGAATAGAAGGGGAGCATCTAGATGGTCAGATGTTGCCTGATACAATCTTCCTATAAAGAAGAGCTGTTTTTTCCTGCTTGCAGTGCTTGAGCAAGTGCTGTAAGTCTCAAATAGACAGTCACATATTAGTTATTAATTGTAAGATGGAACCCACGGAGATCGTTGGCCTCCCTTAACTGGCAATTAGATGTAATACTCATAATCTGACATTGTTATTTCAACTTTTCACTGACTAGCCCTTTTTTTGTGAAAAAAACAGAGATGTACACCATAAATGGATTGAGGGTGGCAACTATGAACTTTGTATTGAAGATGTGAGGGATGAAATCTGGGATATGGTTAAGCCAGTTGATCCTCTCAAGATAACATTGGCAGACCTACTGGCCTGCAAACAGGGTGGAACTGTAGCCAGCATGCTCATAGATGTGCGTGGTTTCTGGGCTCATGACAATAGAGAGAATCTTCTCCAGGAGGAAGAAGAACCTGAAGAAGAATAACTCTGATCAGGGCCTTGCTAACATAAAACTTCTGCCTCGGGTACATTTCAACTTAGGATTCCTCACAATCACAAGATGTAAAACACTGCTCATGTTTGAATTATTAAATGTTGAATTAGTTGTGTTTCTGGACATCTTAACTGTAAAAACATCATAAATTAGTGTGTATGTAGTATAGCCATGGGTTCAAAGTTCGGTCCTAAACTTTAGCCAAATTCTTGTGATGATTTGATATAAAAAGTAATGATATTGCTTTGTTATCTATGATAAAAGATGTCTGATACTATTAAGAGGATTCTTAAAGTAAATTGAAATGTTACATTTCACACCCCACGACAAAAAATTCGTTGTGATTACAATAAATCAAAATTATTTGGGTAAATTTTCTTTTCCTTCAATTGCGCATTCAATTGGAGCATGCATAGGCTTTTTTCTGTTTGTTTGATTAAATTAATCTTCATTGAAAAGTTGTAAACAGGTTATATTAAATTAATCTTTACTGAGAATTTTTAATGGTAAAATTTTTTATTTAACATTGTAAAAGTTTGTAATTGAATTCATAAACAATTTAATCGAGTTTTTATCCACATTTTTGTTAGATCATTACGTCACAAATAGATATTAAATTACAATTAAGGAGATAATTAAACTGAAGTTCTAATTCATGAATTGTTTGAAAATTTTACATGTTGTAATTTAAGAAACATTTATGAGCGCTTAGGTTTGGAAATCTTTACCACATGTAAATTATTACACTTTTAAAATTTAATTAAATTTTGATTAGTGTGTTAAATGTGTGTAATCAACATATTGGTAATATCGCATTTTATATATGATCAATTTGAACAAAAGGTAAATTCCTATGTATTCAGGGTATGCTGCTCTGTATCTGATCTTTCTATCCTTTCATGTTATTGAAGCGAGTAAAGTAAAATAGGTGCCCAAGTGAATACAATTAATAGATGAAGGTACGATAGTTTCTACAAGTCCTGCTTACCAATTGGATAGTGTGGTTGTCAAAAGGATGAAATATTAAGCTGTTTCCTCTTTATCTTTAAGCAGATAATGCAAATGTTTAGCCATGATTTGGTAAAGTCTTCTTCTGTCAAGAGTAGAGCAGACTTCAGCAAGATAAAATTGAAGTACTACCAGGTTCAAAATACTAAGCCAACTTTTACATTGCAAGAAACGACCGCTCAAAGTTCTTTTCTTTCCCACTTTTAGCAGCATCAAGTACACATTCTATTCCTCGTTCCTTTCATGCAGACTAGGTGTTCCTCTGCTGAATACTGACTTAAACATTCAAAAGAAAAAAACCTATCAATAGATGTTAAAGCGTTTTTACCTCAATAAAAATATCAGTCAGAATCCCATCTGCATATTTCGCAGGTTCTGCTTGCTTAACACTACTCATTGCATTTAGAATCGTATATATAAACAAGCAAAGATGGACTTATGGATAAGAATGGACCAGAAGCATTGGATAAATGACTCTGAATCCTAAAACCATACAGAAAACCCACCCACCACATGCGTTCAGCAACTTTCGGCTTGCTCTGTGTCTGACTTCATTTTCCTGAAATACACACCATTATAATAAAAAATAAGTATTCAAGCTTATGAAGAGTTAGAACAAAATACAGTTCACAGTTATTATAAACAAAGCACCGGAAGTTCCATGACAATATCAACACGCAGAGAGGTAGAGAAAAGGATAACATGGTGTTTAGTTCCAAAGACATTAAGAGAACGTTTTAAACAATCTACTTGGTGAATCTCAATGAGTTTCTCGAGACATTACTAAACAACACTTTCTTGATGCAAGCTTTTCCTATATGAAAAACACTACATTTTTTCTGACGTCAACAGTTAACTTCAATGACAATTGCTTAACAGCATCCCATATTTGAATAATTGATTACAAGATGAATATTGAAAATGATAGGATTGAAAGTTGTAACAATTTGCAAACTACCATGAAAAAATGAAGAGGATTATTTTATATATTCCGTATCTGTTTTTTCTGTTATTAAAGAACATACTGAAAGCTGCTGTATGAGTTATGCACAATTGGATTTCCCTCAATATATTATTATTTATTATTCTAAAACTTTAAAAGAATATCTTTTGTACCAATACAGAAATTCAAATAGAGGAAATACAACTAAGAGTCAACATCTAAACTAAAAACTAAAAGATATCACCCATGTAAACCTCGTCTAGGAGGATCAAAGAAGAAGAATAATTTGTGTGCAGCAATACAACTATACATCTGAACAAAGGAAGCCGCCATGTTGTTTCTCAAACTTCATAAAGTTTTAAGGAAAAAAACCGTTGGCCTTTAGGACCTATTTGTTCTGTACATTCAGAAGCAATGTGGCATAAGTTTGGGAAATTTATCTGTTCCGATTTCAAATCGCATGATAGAAACATAAGCTTGTAGTCAATGTCTAAGGAGAATAACTGGTGATACCAATAAAGACTTAAGGGAAGGTTCCGTTGTCGGCCTCAGTAAATGTCATTGTTCCGATCCCAAGTTCGTGGTTAATCACCGTATATTCGAGATGATATCAGCCACGGATACTGTTTGGTCCTTAAGGCGCCTCAGAGTATTTAAACTCTCTTAATCCTTTGACTCCTAAGCAATATGAGACTATTTAACATGATAAGAACATAAAGGTCTAATGACTTATCATCTCCAATAAAAGACTTAAGAGGCTGAGGGTTTAAGACACGGGAAAGGTTAATAATTAAGAAAATATCAACTGTTGAATCAAGTATAACTAAGAAAGGGGTAAGACAGAACATGATACCCTCAAAAACTGATACTTGCCAATCTCTGGACTCTATAACCGATTGATCCATCTTCATGTTTCTGATGATGATGAGAGTCTATCAATGTTTGGATCACATTAGGGGTCTCACATGAATGCCAAAGAAATCCAAATATAGAGTCCAAAAATCCATAAACTGTCTTATACAATCTGCAATTATAGACAAAATGACCTATAAAGAGATTCAATACGATTCAATATATTAAATCTAAACTAAAGGGTGTTTCTAAAATAATTTAAAATAAATTATATTCCAAAATATCTCTGAAGAAGAAACCCGAGATTATAAATTTAAAAACCAGAACAAACAAAAATGTTCAACAACGTCTATATACAATAAAGAATCTAAAATAGCCTATAGCTAAACACCACAAGCCTGTTCTATCCCACATGAGAGGTGAAGGCAAATTTTCCCCCTAAAACTTAAAAATTCAACACCAACCATGGGCAGTTAGGCATCAAATAACAGCGTGTATCTCAAACCATCAAGTTCACAGCTGTTGCATCCCGGCGCACAACACCTACGGTTTCAACCCTTTACTAACAAAAAAAAGTTGTATATGTTCATAGTTTTAAGGTTTTTTCACCAAAACCAAGGAAATCATTTAATTTTTTATTTTTAACGCAATTTAAATTTGTTACCTATTATACTCTTTCAGTTTTCTTATTTTAAAGTACATTTATGTGTCATTACATTTTGTCTTTCTGTAATCATAAGTAATTTATCTCTCTCCATATTAATTAAATTAAGGGTATAATTGAAAAAAATTATTATCTTAAAATTTAAAAAAATGACAAATAAAAATGAACCAGTTTTTGTCAAAAAAATGATAACTAGAGGACAGTGGGGAATATTAGCCAAATCACAACATTGATAGTCAATAATTGATGACAATTGCACAAAAACAAGCAAGCGTGTCAATTGTTTTACCAGTATGTCATTCAAGTTTCCTGTATGTTGAGTTATAAGTCTAGGCCGAACGCATTCTAGATTGCCAATGAAGGGGAGCAAAAGGTTAAGGGAAGGCTATAGACCATGAGCTTCAAATTCCTCAAACATAATGGATAAATTATGACATTGAGTCAGTAACCAAATCACGTTCCTCGTCACCTCCCGTCACTGCTTCATTGCTACTATTCAATCCCTCAAAGACTGCCAATCATGGAGCAGTTAAGTTGCTTGTCCAACTACATCCAGGTATCCTGATGATTTCCTTTGCTTCCACACCCTTTCTCATCTTCTTGGAATCATCCCATTTTCCAACAGAAGCATATATGCTAGAAAGAAGAGAACAATAACCAGTTGTATCACTCTCCAGTTTAATGCAATGCTGAACAGCTATTTCCCCAAGATCCACATTATTGTGTAATCTGCAAGCAAGAAGCAAAGCTCCCCAAACACCAGCATTGGGTTGCATTGGCATATTTATTATAAGCTTATATGCTTCATCCAAATATCCTGCCCTCCCTAAGAGATCAACCATGACTCCATAATGATCAATTGAAGGCACGAGTCCATAGTTCTTCATGGAGTTAAAGCACTGGTAACCTTTTTCAACCAATCCAGCATGATTATAGGCAGTTAGGAGTCCAGTGTAGGTGACTATATTAGGAATAATACATTCAGCAAGCATCTGTTCAAATAACTTGATTGCATCAGAGGCCTTTCCATTTATTCCACATCCGTATATCATTGCAGAGTATGCAACCAAATCCCTCTTTCTCAGGCCATGGAATAGCTCGTATGCCATGCCAATGCTTCCACACTTTGCGTACAAATCAATTAAAGCAGTAGCCAAATGATCATCCAAAACAATTCCAAAGTCATTCATACGTGACTCAATCCAGGACCAATGTTCCAGATCCCCCAATTGAGAACAAGCTGATATAACACTAGCAAAAGTCATTTTATCTGGATGTATGTAGATGTTGGGTTTAACCATATCATTAAATAGTTCAAGGGCTTCCTTGGGTTTGCTATTTTGAGCATAACAAGATATCATAGCATTATACGAGAGCAAATCTTTGTGATCCATCTGGTCAAAGAGGTTACGAGCAGAATCAACATCCCCACCCTTCGAATATCCAGCAATCATTGTTATCCAAGATACACAGTTTCGCCTGGGCATTGCATCAAAAAGTTCTCTTGCTGACACTATGCTTCCACAATCAATCAAACCAGTGATCATTGCATTCCAAGAGGCCAGGTTTCTCTCTGGCATTATTTGAAACAAAGTACACGCCTGATCCATATTTCCTGCCTTAACATACCCAGATATCATAGAGTTCCAAGATATAACATCTTTCTTGGGAATCTGATAAAAAAAATCTTGGGCCTCATCCAAGTTACCTGCTTTTAGATAGCCAGATAACAAAGAATTCCAAGAAACCACATTTCGCTCAGCCATTTCATCAAACACGTGTGTAGCAGTCACCATGTCACCCATTTTCGAGTACAAATCAAGAAGGGCTGTTTGTACATAAACACAAGTATGAAATCCAAACACATGAACTTGCCCATGAATTGATACACCTCCCAACAAGTTCTGAATCCTAGCACATGACTTGAGTGCGGAGGAGATAGCATGTGAAGTTGGATACAATCTCATCCTACACATTTCAACATACAGAGAAACAGCTTCGGTAAATAGACCCTTTTGAGAGAAGAACCGAATAACACAACCCCACGAGAAGGAATCTGGATTGTGCAAATGGTGAAGCATTGAGTAGGCATAGTGTGCCACAGTTCTATAGTTAGGGACATCCCAAAGAAGCATGTGATGAATTAAAAGGGGTTGAAGAAAAGTAAAACCATTGATCAATATGTGGGCATGAATTTGCTTTGCCTGCTTCACAGTTGAACATTGTTTCATCAAGGTTACCAATTTGGTAACTACCATTTAAGCTTTCTTGGATTTGCTTTAAAGAAGAAACATCGATCACTCAGTCCAAGCACAAACCTTACTGACAGTTGCCAACATTAATAATGTTCAATTAAATTACAAAATATAATTACATATGTTTTATTTCTTTTTTATCTTTTATTGAATCAATCAAATTACAAAACTTTCATAACATTTTATTTTGTTTTATATATTATTCTTAATTTATTATTCTTCAATTTTCATCTTCTTTACTTTTGTGATCAATCATGGCCTGAGTAGTTGTTTTCTTTATTTTCCCATGTGTCAGTTATTTTCAGTGTTAGAAACAGGTGTTAGGGTTAGGGATTCAGTCTTCAAAAACAAATGCAATTGAAAACAATAATGGATTTTGTCTTTACTGCATGTGTGGTGGGTCCAAAATCACAAACACTAACTTGTGATATGGTCTATGCTTCTCATATAAAATTACTAACCTATCAACCTAACAACATCAACTTTTCAAGAGAAATACAAATCCTAGAAATATTATTAAAAAATATAATAATATTACTTATTGTGAATGTAAAATGTTTATATCATGAATAAATTAGAAATCATCATTGTTATGTTTTTGAAGATAATTGTCATAAAATTATTAAATTTATTAAATAGTGGAAAGATGTGTTTTCAATTTTTTATGATAATAAAAGTAAAATATAATTAAAAAAATAAAATTATAAAAAAAGTTAATTAAAAATAAGACTAACATTTATATTAAAATTATGACAATTATATATATATATATATATATATATATATTTATGTATACGAATTTGTTTTATAATCTTATAGTTATATAATAATTTCCATAAAAGAATGTACAATTATAAATTTGAAGTTTTGTTTGAAAATTATGATTATAGTTATAAGCTAAATATACTTTCAATTTTTACAGGTAGTATTTTAGGATGATAGAAATAAACAATAAATTAAATAATGTAAGATAAAAAAAAATACTAGATTAATTAAGTATTCAACAAAGAGAAAAATACTACTAACTCAAAACTTGGTAAACTATCAATTCTATTTACTCCTTTTGTTAACTAAACTATACATCTAACTACTTGTATTCTTGCTATTCTTTTTATATCCCATATTCTATAAAATTCACAATTTTTTTATAATTTGTATATTTATTTTTTTAACAAACACATCTTACAATTAAACACAGGTTTAATTATTTCAGATATTAAAAAAACATAAACAAAATTAATGAAATTTAAATTTGTTATATTAAAATAAAAATATTTTTATTATAGTAAAAATAAAAGAAACCCTAGAAAGTTAGAATAATTACATATTATTATTGTTATACAGGGAATTGGAGGAACATAAAGAATGAAAAGAATACCAATTATTTGGAAGAATAAAATTGGTGTAGAAATAAAATAATTTTTAGTATATTTTTATTTTCTTACATATATATATATATATATATATCTTTTAATTTTTTTATGTAATTTTCTTTTACTTTTATTCATTTTCTTCAATTAAATAGTTTTAATTTGCTGTCTCATGAAAGGTAAGTTGTAAAGCATATGCATGCATAATTAATTATTAATAAAGCAGGAAAGTAGCCAGCCAAATCCCTCTTTTGCGGACCTCACACTGACACTGCACTATTTAGCATGCTAACGTGCGCATCCTCTGTCTCTGTCTCTTTCATTGTCATCAATGCTATGTTCTGTCTGCACTCCATCACTCCCAACCCAACTTCTTTCCTTCTCTCTTCTTCCAAACACAACCACAGCACAATCTATTATAAAAAACTGCACTATCTTCTTACCCTTTTCTTTTTCCCCTTTCTCTCTCATTATTGTCAATCTGATTACTATTATTACCCACTTTTTTCTGGGCACAAACACTGGTAAAGCAAAGCAAAGAAACTCTTTCAGAGACTCATATCAAACAATGTGTCTTCCTTTTCTGCCTTTTTAGGGTTACTTGCTCACTCATTCAATCTTCATCCTTCTCTGCTTCACCTTTTCTTCTTCTTTCCTTTCTTTTTCTCTCGTCCTTTTATCATCATGTTTGGCTTCTCTAGTCGTCGCATGAAACTTGGCAGGTACATCAACACTTTCTTTCTTCAGTCACTTGATTTGCTAACCTGAGTTGCATTTTGAGAGTGTGTTTTTGGTGATGTAATAGTGTGACATTTGTGTTGTGGCAGATTGAAGGTGCAGCTTTCTGAGGCCAACCAGGGAACCAGAACTCCTGTCAGGCATCCCAAAAGAAATGGAAACTCCAATGTAAGAATTTTTTTTCCAGCTAACTCAATTTCACTTATATACACTATTTTAGTCATAGTCAATATCGGTGGGGTTTCCAACATATTTTCATCTCCACACAAAATATGAGTTTGGACAGTGGGATGTTTCCTAAGTTTTAAGGTTGTTCCAGGGAGAAGGAGATGCAGGGTCCAGTGGCCATTCTGATGAAGTTGATTGCCTGCCTTCAGCTGAGATAAGTAGTTGTGCATCAGGTAGCTCAGAGAACTGGATGGTGTTATCTATTGCTGGGGATAAGCCCACTCCTAGATCCAATGTCTGTAATCTTACCATTCTTTTACTTCTCATCTTTTCTGGACTGCAAGTTTTATTATTCCACTAGTAGTAGTATACAGGGATTTGGCTCCTCTAAACTAAACAATGGTAAAGTGAGTATCAACTAATGATATTGTAATACATTCATGATTTGTTTTAAATGTGCACCTAAAATCAGTCTTTGATGATAAACATCAAAGACTCACATTACTTACTTTATTCACTTACTCACTGAAGTGAATTGATCATTTTTAAGTAGCTGAATCCTCATATATAGTGGCAGTGAAGGGGAAAGGACTGAACCGTCATTTTCATTGTGAAATATGTGCAGCATGCAGCAGCAGTCATTGGGAATAAGATGGTAGTGGTAGGCGGTGAATCTGGGACTGGCTTGTTGGATGATGTACAGGTATAAGTGGGAGATTGTAAGCAAAAACATGAACATTATTTACTACTTACTAGCTTGTTTGTTGGCCATCTCAACCGGTGCTATACTTTTTTTACTTTCAGGTGCTGAATTTTGATAGATTTTCATGGACGAAGGCATCGTCAAAGCTTTACTTATCACCAAGCAGTCTGCCACTGAAGATTCCAGCATGCAAGAGCCATCCTTTGGTACTTATTAGCAACATATTCTTATCGACCTTGCTTCATTGTGCAAAACATGGGATAACATGTCTCTCAATGTGTGTAAAGGTCATAAAATTGAATTTCTCAAACAAGTTGAAAAAGCAAATAAGGGGCCCGCTGAGTGTCCATATACACACTATTCGTCAGCAAATTTTGTCTGCAACAAATGAATGTTCTACTTAATAATGATAATCAATCATATCTAGTTGCATGACCCCTTGGCATGATGAAGCAATTCAAGGAATCATTAATTATACACTATATAGAAAGTCTGGGCCCTCCAACATACGATGTTCATAGATAGAGAGATTTGGGAGAAGATTTTAGAATGGAAAAGACAGTATTTTCAATTTTAAAAACTAAAGGAAAATCCATCAAGAATATGTTTCACGGTAGTAAATTGTAGCTTGATGTGAGAAACCAGAGAAGTACCATAGCTAGTTGACTACTTCAGTGTACTCTTATACTTGAGCTTTGTATCAATTGTATAAATTACTGTAATAATCGATATGATTTGTGTCTGTTTTCGAGTCTCTTACACTTGATGATAAACTGACAAGGTATCCTGGGGGAAAAAGGCTCTTCTAATTGGAGGGAAAACAGACCAGGGGAGTGACAGAATTTCAGGTTGAATTTCATGTTATCTACCTGTAACGGTTCTTTGCTGTTTAATGTTGTGAAATGATTCTGATTGTAATTATTTGTATTTTTATAGTATGGGCATTTGATACAGAGACAGAGTGCTGGTCACTGATGGAGGCGAAGGGAGACATACCAGTAGGGATATCCCTTTCATAACTGCAAATGCTGCAGTGATATAAATTGCTCTTGGGCATTGTCTTTATTGATATGTTGAACCAAATGCTAGTAGCAGTGATATTATGTTACATATATTGCTCCATCATATTATTAAATCTTGATCATTAGAACGTAAAAAAAAAAAATTGAACCAGATCATAAATTATGATTTCCCAGTGGATGGAAAAGCTTTGTTTTGCAATCAAATTGATATTTTTCACACTCAACAAGCATGTAATGTTCATGTCATATTGCATTTCAATGCTGTTTAGTTACAGTAACAACCTGTAATTGCACATTTACTAGAACTGATGTATCATCATTTTCCTTGAATTAAAATCTATATATGGACTCTGACACTTCGAGTTTGTTCTTGGTAGGTTGCTCGCAGTGGTCACAGTGTTGTTAGAGCGGGCACTGTTTTAATATTGTTTGGTGGTGAGGATGCAAAAAGGAGGAAACTGAATGATCTGCACATGTTCGATCTCAAGTCCTTTACATGGCTTCCACTTCACTACACGTAAGTGATTGAAAGAAAAAGGAACTTTTGAAAGAAAAAAGTTGGACTTAGTTGTGATTATGTAATCATAATAATCACCCAATATTCTGATTTATTTTGCTTTGCAATTATATGAATTGTAGGGGAACAGCGCCTTCTCCCAGATTTAACCATGTAGCTGCTCTTTATGATGATAAAATTCTTTATATATTTGGAGGATCATCAAAGTCCAGGACCTTGAATGATTTATATTCACTTGACTTCGAAACGGTGAGTAAGTTCGGTAGGTCCATATATGTGTCTGTATTCTATACTGAAATACCATGCGGATGAATTCTTCGTCGACCATTTAACCTGATCAAAGTATATATTTCTTCAGATGGCATGGTCACGAGTAAAGATACGAGGTTTTCATCCATCACCAAGAGCTGGTTGCTGTGGTGTCCTATGTGGCACTAAATGGTTTATTACAGGGGGTGGAAGCAGGAAAAAAAGTATGTTTTGCAATGGAAGAAGCATTTGTTCATGATATTAAACCCTACTATTTGTTTGTGTGTTTTGAAGTTCTGCTATC